AAAAAATTGCTGAAAACATTCTGGCAGGGACCAGCACATAAACACATTCCAAGGCAGTGCGCGAGTTTTAGGCAACATCGACCGGGCTGGTCAATCATTTAAGGGGAGGGGAGAAATATGCTTGTCGACATAGCAACTGTCAGGTCGTATTACGTGGGCTCCCATTTCTACACAGATGTCTTCCTTAAAGGAAAACACTTCCCCAGCTGCCCCTGAACTTGGGCGTCTCTCTGGTTTGCAGCGTATTCGCATCGGCCTTCCTGCGTCTCTTAGACCTTTCTCATCCTTCAACAGTTTTGTTCTCATGAGTCCAGATTTTGACTCCGGAAGATGAAGCAAGGATGCGGGTGCCTGGATCTCGGGGTACAGCTGAACTGTAAGGTGCCGGGGGTGAGGCAAAAATAGGCCGGCAGGTGGCATGGTGGTTAGGGGCTCTGGATCCCCCACATGGCCGACTGTGGTTCGAGTCCCAGACCTGGTGGTTTGCTTTCTCATTTTCTCTCTCTGTCTCTTTCTGGTGCGTGCACATGCCCCAAAGCACTCAAATACTTAAAAAAAAAAAAAAAAAAAAAAAGGCCAACATCAAAGTTAGTCCTTCTAAGAAAGGGATCTGAAAATCCCCAGGCTGGGGCCAGCAAGTGGCATGGTGGTGAAGGCCCTGGACTCCCACACGACCACAGTTCAAACCCAGGATCCGGGAGCTTGAACGTCATGCCAGGTACGCGTGCATGCATGTCCAAAACCCCGAGACGAGACTGGAGGAGAAGGCATTGCAGCATGGCCGTCCCCTCAGAAGGAGGGGCTGCTTTCTGTCTATTTCTTTTTTGTCTCTCTTCAGCAAACACAAGCTCCCTACGGCAAAAACTGAAAAAGCAAGAAAAAAAAAAAATCCCCAGGTTGGATCAAGGGAAGCTCTGAAATTTCTCAGGGTTGGGAAAAGCAAAGAGATGCAAATAATGATAAAAAAAAAACCTTCCACGTGTCTCAAAAAAGCAACCTCAGGGCCAGCAGGTGGCCTGGTGGTTAAGGTGCTGTATTCCCACATGGCCGACTGAAGTGCGAGTCCTGGACCTGGCAACTCGCTTTCTCACACCGTGCTCACAACCACTTTCTCTCTCTGGTCAAATATAATAATAATAATAATAATAATAATCAATACATTATGATTTAAAAAAAAAAAAGGAAGAAGAGTCCTTCCCCTCCAAACTGTCAAAAGCAACCCCGCCCTCACCTCACCAAGACAAAGACTCCAGCCTTCACATCAAGCATATTTTTCTTGGAATTTCCTTGTTTTCAAATACCATCAGACCCTTGGTGAGAATGACAGATCTTTGCATGTGGAAGGCTGCCTTTTTCTATATTTAAATCCAACCCCCAGTGAGCGCCATAAATTAGCAGGCAGTGAAGAAGGAAATCCGTAACCACAAACAACATGTGCTCCGAAACACACAGGCCTGCCCGTCACCGCAGTCGCTTCAATTTGCACCCTCCGTGGCCCAAGGAAAACACCGTACAGTGGCCGAGCACCTGCGGCCACACGGGTATCTCAGCCACCCAGAGCACCGGGTGTTAAACTACAGGCTGAGTTTCCGGCCAGAGCCCTTCCCCTCCAAACTGTCAAATCTATTTCCAGGGGGCTTCCCCCAGGAAGAACGCATCCATCCTTGGCTGACAATTGCCTTGGCATTATCCAGAGAGCAAGCGTGGGATGAAACAGACCCTGTGCGGGGTCTTCAAAACCTCCTAAGAGGGACCAGCAGTTGGCGTAATGGCTATGTCACTGGACTCCCGTGTAGTCGACCGTGGTTCGAGTCCCGGACCTGGTGGCTTAAACTCACACCGGGCGCGTGTGCGTGTGCGTGCCCAAGATCCTGAGAGGAGAATGGAGGAGAAGGGATTGTGGTGTGGCCATCCCCCCTGGGGGGTGATTTCTCGCTTTCTATCTCTCTGTCTCTGTCTTTCTGGGGAGTGCACGTGCCCTATGGCAAAAACCTCTC